CTGTCTACCGTTCATTGATAATATGACCAAAAAAAAAAAAAAAAGAAGAGTTGTATCCCATTAAATATATTGTACCCCGAAAAAAGGATTTATATATACGCTCATTGACTTTCATCACAGGTCAAAAACACTATCACAACAAAGTAGCTGACTTGTATCACAAGGAACGCCCAACTCAAACCAAAAGATTATTGGAGAGTAATCTCGTGAATTGAATGGTCAGAATTTCTAGTGTCTGAACTCTGAACTCTCGACCGTCAAACCGAAGGGGCAAACGACTCATTTTGTCAAACTCCTCGACCCTGCTTCGGGGCTACGCTACCATGGATGGGGAAAACGCCGGTGAAGACACGTGCCTAAATCGCGGAATCGACACGTGTATGCAAGACTGCCACGATTTGAAACCAACTTTCCAACATGGACTAACGTAGCTGCATGCCCACATGACATATTTTACTTTGACTGTTGTTTCCACATCTCCTTTCACATTCATCCCAGCTACCTAATACCTTTCGATTTACAGGCTGCCGGCGGGCAGTGCATACGTACTGTTGTTACGGGTGGATTAATCGGACATGCATGCACATACGAAAAAATTGAATCCGGCCGCGGAGGCAAACAGTAAAGAAAGATATCACCACTACAAAAAGAAGGAGATTTGGGGACCAGTATTAGGGGACAATTCCCTTATATTGTCTCCGCAAATACAATTCTAAGTAGTATTAGGGACAAACGTATAAATTGTCTCTATTTTATAAGGGATGTGATATTTATTATTTTTTAATTTTATTCCGCTGTCCCCAAAACAAATTTCGCTAATTTTTTGGGCAGGGGTTTTATTTGCTCGCAACCTGGGTTGATTTTTTGGTCTCCAAAATATATTATCAAAATGAACACATCATTTTTTCCTCATGAACGTTTTCTTTTCCGTTTTGGAGTTGTACTGGTTACCCTTTTTATTTATTTTTATTGTTTTCCTCTTAAGTTGGAACTTGTGAAAGGGTTTTTTAAAGTCTGAATTATGAATTTTGTTGGTGAGTTTACACACAATAAAAAAAAAGCTTATATTGATAACTACATTATAAATAAGTGGGTTTCTTTTTACTGAATACTATTTCGTATTATTTGCTTCTTTAAACGTAGGGGTAATATCCGGTTAACGTTTGTAAATTTGATTTCCATCTCTAAAAAGTTGTAGGTGCATAGCGAAAATCAAGTTCATGAATCATGATCTTCTGCATTTGCGCGTCGGAGGCGGTGCCAGTAGAGGGGTGAAAAGCTTGTCTCGTTGAGTGTGGAAGGTAGTTATGTTGTTTATCATCATTCAAACTTGTAGCGAGATTGTTTTATATTATCTTTGTGAATATTTCTTAGAATATCGGTCTCATTTTTTCTTGCCTTGCACACTGAATCTTTTCCATATATAGAATTAGACTGATCTTTGAAATTGTTTTATCGAAACCTGCAGAAATTTTATTAACCAATGAAAGCGGTTTCTACAAATTATATAGGAGACAATGAGTTATCTTTGAAGACACATGGGAAAAGACAACTTATTGTCCCTTCAAATTACATAGGAGACAATTTCTCATCTCTAATAACATAGGTTAAAGGACCACTAGGCCTCCATAAATATTAGATATGTGATAATCTATCCTTCATCAAGCCACAACTTAAGGAACACTTGGTACATAAAAGTCACACAAGTGAGAATTTGTCCTATCAAGAAATAATGCACAAGGAACAACTTCTTGTCCTTAAATAAATTTTTTGGAGACATCTATTGCCTCCAATTGGACACATATAGGAATGATATGTCGTCTCTAAAAAAAATAGTTATTATATATTGTCCACAATATTATCATGATAATAGAAGAAAGTATTTTTACTTTACAAATGAAATAATAAGTCATTCTTTTATATTAGAAGGGACTTAATTCACAATGTTAATCAACTTTTGTCTATCTTTGACAAGCCCACTAATTATAATTCATAAATACTTGTGGAGTTCATTTGGAAATTTCATCTCAATTCTTCGGAATTGCTATAACTAGTTCCAATTCCATAGAATTCAAAATTTAGAATTGAAAATGAACTGTTTTAAATACCAAACACAAAAAAATTTCATTTTAAAATGAATTCCTCAAAACTTATGGAATTCATTTATTACCAAAAGGTATGTTAGTAAACATTAAAAATACTTGCTGTTAAATTCTCAGTTGCATTAAAATACTTGCTCTTAGATATTAAAATACTTGATCTTAAATTCTCAATTGTATTAAAATACTTGCTCTTAAATATTAAACTACTTGCCTCTCTGGAACTTTCAACTTAATCTCATCCGTTCATTTCAATAAGTTTCAATCTCAAATGTCCATTTAGCTTTAAGTAACGATAGAAACCCTAGCCACATTCCCGTCTTCACCCTCTTTTGGCCGCATGGTCTATTCCCTTCCTTCCTTCGACTCTCCGGCTTCTTCTCTTTTTCGTTGGGCGCAGGCTAATCTTTCACTTTGTTCGCCAGCGCTTCCCTCTCATCGTCATTAGTGTCCAGTCGATGGTAGGACTCATCTAGTTCCTTTTTGTTCTTGATTTTAGGTCTTTGGTTCAATGTTAGCTTTAGATCTATATATTTTCATCACTATTGATCTTTTGTTTTTTTTCCAGGGTCGACGGCGATGATGAAGCCAGTGTCGACATAGCGGAGGTATTGATCTTTTGATTTCTCTTTCAGAATCGACGACGATGAAGTCATAAGTGAGGAGATTGCGGACCCTGCTCGGATGATGTTACGCTGTGGTGGCTAGACATGGTTGCGGCGTTACGGTGACGAAGACGATTGAGAATGATAGTACAACCAGTGACACCTATTGTGATTTTTGTGTAAACTTTTTCCTTCTATTTTGATGATTTTTGTGTACAACCAATGGCATCTGTTTGTAAATTAATGGTAAAAAATAGAACTTTTGTCGTATGAACAACCATTATTATTATAATATTAATAATATATGCAATTTTAGATCAGATTAATGGAGATGGCCTATTGATCCTATAAAGAGAAAATATGACATCATATTGTCCCCAAACACCATTTGACAGAAGCCTTCTAATTGCCAAGGAGACGCTTTTTAGACTTCAATTTGATACCTATAAGAATGACATGATGATCCTATAAAAAGGAAAGAGGACGATACATTATCTCCATACAGGCCCAACATAATCATGAAATCGATTATGCGGGACAATAGTTTGTCCCTAGAATGCTGTTTAGGGAACAATTTATTGTCGTTACAGCTATAGATATAGGGACGACATGTTGTATCTCATAAAAAAACTATGAGATGACGACTTGCGAGTCTCGGGGACGACTGTCGTCCCTATTAATAGGGACGACCTAGATTTTTGTCGTCCCCAAAAGAATAGAGGACAAGAGTATAGGGAGCCACACATTAGGGATGACTAAGTCGTCCCTAAAAATTGTAGGGACGATTTTGCCTATTTCCGGAGACGACTTTTGTCGTCCCCAAACCTCCTCTTTTTTGTAGTGCACCTATAGTTAGTACTTAGTAAATAGTCCGTTTAATATTTGTATGTGTGAAAGTACGTATATTTTATCATTTAAAACTCACGTTTTCATAATATTGCCGGATCGTTTCATTTTCTCTTTATTATTATATGGCTCACATGCTAAACACATCATATCCACTCAATATAACACGTTAAATATATGTATTTAACGAATCGAATAAATGATTTGAACATTATTCAGACATTTATTATTTCCAATACAATTCATTTCCATATACTTTATTACTTTAACATATATATTATTAGACGTATCATTAGTTAAGGGACGAAGTAAAATGCACGTACGTATTTTATGCATAACTTACTCATGTCGTATTTTACTGGCTACTACACATCCCTCAGCCCCAGAAAGAAAGGAGCAAACTCATGGTTCTTGGTATGTGAAGATACGTTGTTAGGTGCTCCATTTAATTTTCACTCTAATCTGTTGGGTTGTGTGACTGGCCGGGCTAATTAGCACCCGTCGTTGCCTCTGTACCTGAAACATATGCGCACTACGCTACCCATCGGCCATCGCATAACCTTGTCTCCTCTAATCCTCTTCCGGTAATGCCATCCCCAATTAATCCCAGGTAATCCTTGAACCGGCCGCCCCTATCTAATAAGAACGATTATCCTTATCGTCAAACAAGTACCGACTTACTTCTCGTTTTGATGGAAAAAACCGTCATCTCGGCTCGCAACTTGTTGGGAGTAGGGGCGAAAAAAACTTAAGACATATGTGGCTTCTAATAATTATGGAGCGAACGGGTTTCCCTTGTGCACTTCTGATAAGCCTATAGCTAAAGATTGAAATGCTAGCTAGCAGAGAAACATGATACCGTGGGTTTCGTCACTGTACTCCTAGTTCCCAATCATTGACGAAGACATTTTGGATTGATCTAATTGTCACTGAGTTAAGCATATGGCTGCAAATGAGCCGAGCGGCTCGACGTTCGACTCGAGAAAAACTCGTTCGAAACTCGACTTGTTAATAAACGGCCCGAACACGAGCTTACTTTTGTTCAGCTCGTGAATTCGCGAGCTAGCTCGACTCGGTGGCTTGTTGAGCTAAACTCGTGAGCTGGCTCGTTTAGAGCTCATGATATGTCTTAACATGTGGCTAGAGAGCCAACTCGATTACCAACTTATGGATGAATCGATCTATATCTTATGATTTTAATTCATATGGTTATTAAATTATATATCTCACCATATATAAAGTTTAACACGTTGAGTATGTGAGCAAATATATCTTATTTTCGACTTTAAAAAGAAATTATGCATCATAGATTGTTTCGATACTATGAAATAACATGATTTGGAGAAGTTAAAATTTATTAACTAAATGAATATGATACCAACAAAGTATAATATGAGATTTGCTAACAAAATAAATCATATGTATCATGATATACAAAATGAAGTACCAAATTTTTTTTAAGATTTTAATAAACAAACTAGCTCGAGCTTGACTCGACTCGGCTCATTAATAAACAAGCTGAGCTCGACCTCGACTCATTTATTAACGTTAACAAGCCAAACTCAAACTGAGGTAAAACTCGACTCGGCTTATTTGCAGCCCTTAACCACCAACAAACAAGGAGTCCCCACACACTTATCCTTTGTTGTTTGAAGGTAATTGTTGTTGAACGAGAGGGCGGTTTTGTGGAGCCCCTTCTGCACCGGACAATGCATCCCCTTTGGTCTCCCACTACCCATTTTCTTAATGAAATCTTTGCTAGCCCTTCTTGGTCTTCCTTCTCTACTAATTTGCATGGAAACACGCAGAGATATAATAACATGGATGAAGCCCACGTGCACCAAGTGATAGAAGTTCTGAGTCAAGTTTGAGTAACAGGATATCTTCAAAACCATTCAAAATTATTAGGAACGGTTGATTTATAATATGATATCAAAATCTTTTATGACGGAAAGATCTTCTATTCGACTGCCGGTATTCCATTGATATGCGCTCTGTCCAACTTGAAGTTTCAAATCTTACCAACAAGATAACTCTGACTCTCAACTCATGGTTAGATTGAAAGGGAAGAGTTCTCCAAACCTTGGTTAATTGGTTTCATATATTTTTGGAGCCATTCATGTAAGATAAATGTAGGGGCATGTTATTAGTGTGTGATATTAGATTTATTATCGAATGTCTCTCATATTTGAGTTGTTGAAACCAATTGATTTTTAACATTCTCATATTCAAGACTTGTACAAACGAAAAAGACTTGCTTTCATTGATGATGTGTGTTAGTGTGAGATTATATTCATCATTGAACCTTTTCCAAGGGAAACAACTAGTTGACAATTAATTACTAATCTCGTCCAACTAAATTATGTGCCCTGAATTATTATGGATGCCATATACGGCAGAGTCAAGACTGATGGTGGACAAGTTGTTGGCCTGAGTGAGTTAATCACAATCAACATATTTTAACAAAGACCAATCAATCCATTGTATCATCAGCCTGATAGCTCCACTCTGTCGAGTACATCACAATTCACATTGCCAGAGACTCCTCTGAAACAGAAGCCTAGAAAAGTATGAACTGGTGGCAGAAAAGATGGCATTTTTTTAGGAACAATCAGTGCCCTTCAATTATCGAGACACATAAATCAAACTGAGAATCAACTACCTTAGAATGGAGCAGGTAGAAGAAAGCGATATTATTAGATGGTGATGTGTAACCGAACTCTGCCTTTTCTTCATCTGTGACTGTGATCATAAACTAAAGGGTAATTCGTAAAAGGCAAAGCTCGAATCCTGCCGGCCTCTGTGGATTTCACATGAGGCCTCCAATTGGGTGAAAATGCATTGCGGGCATGGATCACTACTTTCTTCCTTTCCAATAACAAAGATTCTGTGATGTATACTGATATATTTCTCTTTCGTATAAAGGGGGTTGATGATAACAGATACAATCCCCAGAATTCTAATTACAACAGTACCAGTAGAAATTGATCATAAAAGAGCGAAAACAAAGAAAACCCAGAAAAGAAGAAGAAGTTTCAGTGTGTCTATACAGTTTCCTGCCTACGAATCAAACAAAAATCGTCAATGTTCAAGTACTCTGTTTTTCCTAAGGTATAAAAAGCAAAACCAAAACAGAGTAAAAGGGGAGGTAACTAATTAATTAATGTCCGACGCCGGGGCTGGGAACAGAGCCCAGGATCCGATCCATACGAGCAAGATGCCTCTGGAAATTCTCCACATTATCAAACGTCGTCGTCGACTGATCCTTCTTGCTCGGAGAAGTGCCCTTCACGCTAATTGCTCCACCGCCGCCGCCACCGCTCGACACTAGCAGCTTCCTCGCCTCCGTGTTGGAAACAAACGAAGAGGAGATGACAACAAATAGGATCAACACAATACCAAAAGCACGAGCCATGTCTAATTGAACGAAGAGGGGAATTGTGATTGGAAAAACAGTGGATTTTGGCACTCTGTTTTTTTCGCGGGTGATTAAGCAGGGGAAAGAGATGGTTTTGCAGTGGGATATTATGAGGGTTTGGTAGGGAGAAGAGGGGATTATATATAGGTGGAGAGTGGCGGAGTCAAATTTTTTTGGTTAGACGGTTGGATGGCGATGGAGGGAAGGAACATACATTGGACTTTTTGGAGTCATGGCGACGACATTTTTTAGTTTAATAATTTTTGTTTCCCCCATTTTTGTGAGTTGGTTGGAAGGCTGGAAAGGAGCGGATGAACAGCCGCGTGGATGCTAACTAAGGAGATGGGTTTGCTGGACTGAGATTGCCGGCCGAGGGAGGAAGCACCGTCAAGTTTCTCTGCTCTGCTCTGCTCGTTGCAGTTTTCTTTCCCTCGCTTTCTGAAATTCTACCGCCGGAGATAAAAAGTTATGATTTTGATCGGGTGAAATTAGAAGTTTGGTTATTTGGTTTACTAGCTCACTTTAAATCTCATTTCATTGTTGACAACGACTGTATAATTTCGTTAAGTTCGTAATGCGTCGTGACAATCAATTATATTCTTTTACCGTCAAGTTCGATGGGGTGGACTTGTTGGTTATGTCGGGTTCACACAGGGAATGCTCCATACAATTTTCTTATAGGTGGTTTTACGATTTATAAATTGCCCATTTTCTGATTGCACTCACCGGTCTTCGAGATGTGGTTCAATGGTGTTTAGTTTGTCTAATTTATTGTCTGATGTTTCGTGATGATGCTTAGGTAGTTGAGTATCTGGATGATCAATGCAACGGAATCCTGTAGACACATAGAATTTAGTATGATTCTTTTAAGTTTAAGACCTCATAATCTCGTCGACGTGACTCCAAATCAACTTAAAGTTCATTAGATACATAGATTTTAGTGTTCGTAAATTTTTAAGGACCCTAATGAACACAAAGTCTGATTACATCTTGTTGTATTTTTGTTTTGTGAGCAAAAGACTTTCCTATCAGACTCGTCATCACTAGTAGTGAAAGGTTTATTCCGTGGAATCAAAGGGATCCAAATTCAAAAAACGGCGGGCGTGTGGAAATTCCGCCGGCGGCAGTCCTTAATTAATTTACACGGTGTCCTGACGGCCAACAAAGAAAACCTGATACGACGGCAACCATGAGAAAGTATCTCTTGCGGTGGAAACTTTTTAAAATTCAAAATGAATAGATTCACGGCAGTATAATCGTTAAATACACTGTACGGCAGGCCGGCGATGAATGGGCAATGACGCTGCCGGCGTTAGCATATATTGGGTTGGCTTCACTGCCGGGGTTTTTTTTTTAATTGCACTGCCGGTTGACTTTATTCCTTCACAGTCAATCCGGCCGGCGGCCTAATTAACATCTAATTAAACATGTACGACTAAGGGTTTATTATTTTAGATTGGATTACGAATATAATTAATTACCCTTCAGGCCGAGGTACGGATCATGCACAGCATAATGTCCTTTCTGAAAAGGTAAAGGTGATACGGATTATGGTTCTGCTATATATTGTTTTGCTGTTTAATCATTTTTAGTTTTCGGATTAGTCCATTTTACCCATGTAATTTATTTTTAATTTTATACGTGGTTTTGGTTGCAGACGGTCCTGTTTACCAAGACTGTTGTGACTGACTCGACTTGCCCAATCTGCTCGGAGGGACCAGAGTCCTTTTCACATTTCTTTTTCTCATGCAGGATTGCTAGCGGCTTATGGAGCAGGGCAAATCTAGAAGAATGGAGAGTGGCACTTGTTGACATGCATCCTGATGATGCTTGGAAACATTTATTTTTCTCTATGAACCTCTCTAAAACTCAACTTGCTGATGTAGTGTTCCTTGTGTGGCGCCTCTGGAAGGGGCGATGCTGGGCAATTCATGACCATATTCAATACCTTCCAGAAGTCTTGTTTAGACAGTTTCAGCAACAGGTGGAGGAATGGCGCGCGCTGGATGGCGGTTCCCCTCACCAACAGACTGTTCATCCTGGCCCGCAAGCAAACACAGGCGATCATTCACGCTCTCGCAGGGGACTTCCCAGATCCATACCGCACCCAGACGAGATTAATGTTTGGTTCGATGGTGCCGCCAAACGTGGGCAGGGAGGGAGTATTGGATTTGTTGGATACCAACTGTCAGGTAACTTACTTTTCGCCTTTGGATTATGACGGCATTCATGACCCATTCATCATGGAATGCCTAGCGCTAAGAGATGCAATCCAATGGTGTCTAACGCATTCTTTCCTCTTTGTTAATTTTCAAGGGGATTCACAACTGCTTATCCGGCGAATGGTGGGTGGCGAGCTGAATCATGATCGCGGGGGAGCTATTTTGGAGGACGTTCGGTGCTTGGCCTCACATTGTAGCAGAGTTTCTTACTTGTTTGTGTCCCGTCAACTCAATAGGGCTGCCCATCTTGTGGCACAAAAGGCCCTCTTATCGGGAGTTCGACTATTGGTCGACTCCCGCACACTTCTGTTCTCTACTGCTTGATTGATATTAATAAAAACTGATCTTGGAAAAAAAAAACAATTTCAGCAATTACATTCATTTTTAGTCTTTCTAACTTGATGTAACCTGTTTGATTTGTCGAAGTGCATCAGTAATAGTGTGGATCGATATCCCTCGTAGTAAGAAAAGGAAAATTTTATTGTTCCGCAATAGGGATACTCTGCCATTCATGCAACGTTACAAATTATTCACATACATGACTTATTGTTTCATACAGTTTATAAGAGTAAGTGAAACTTGTATACATAAGTTTGTGTGTGTGATTTGTGAAGGCAAGGGAAAAAAGGAAAGCAGGGTTAGTTTCTGCCCCTTTACTTTATCACAATGCAAGTTATACAAAGTCAACCTACGTACACGTTGACCCTAATTTGTCAACACATATTTAAATGAATTTTATGCAGTGCTAATCGATGAGTTCGAAGCTTTGAAAAATTAATGAATAATAATAATCCTACCAGATATAATAATTAATAACTATATATCAAATGCGGGGTTAGCATGTATCTTGCTTGATTTGTTAATTAATACCTCTCTACTAATTTAAATAGTGCAGAACCTTGATTAATTAGTTCTGCGCCCACTCTAATTAGTAATTACTTGCTCCCCACCCAGAATAAACGGGTTTATAATCCTTCTCAAACGTTTTTTTTTAATTATTTAGGGTCGGTGTCCTCTGCAGAAACTAAGTCAAATGAATAATGTGGAGGGCGACATTTTGCGACTACATGCAGAGATGCAGGTTAGCTTTAAGCTCAAGAACTAGCAACTTAAACACTTCATTATCATCTAACAATTTTTGTGGGACGAGGGCAGCAAAAATGGGACCCCTTTTGTTGAAACAATTAATAGTCAAAATTGCGTTTAACATCAGAATTCATTTCCGTTCGATCTCATGTGTTTGTACGTTTGTTCTATTATGACAAGAGCTGAAAATTCCATAAGAAACCACTACCAAAGTAGGGATGGCAACGGGGCGGATCGGGGGCGGGTACATGCCTCCCAATCCCCGCCCATCAATCTCGACGTATTTCCCCATCCTCGTTCCCGGCGACTAAACGGGGGGAGATTGGCTACCGTCCCCATCCGCCAACGGATTCGGGTAACCAACGGATCCCCACGGATCATGGTCTAAACAAAAAAACAAACACTTCCTGAATAATACCTTTGCATTAAAATAGTTACTTGATGGTCAAGCCACCGAAATAGAAAACAAAACAAAGAAAGATCTGGGGCTGTAACCCATATCCCACCACCCAACTCCCAGATCCTAAAATTCAAAATTCAAGTAACAGGCTGCAGCAAACAAACAAACTGCTGCAACCTTAATCCCACCACCCAAAACCCATCAATCATGTTCATCATGCTAGTACTAGTGTTCAAACTTAAAAAGAACATAAAATGAAAAACAAAGGCATTCAGCCTAATCGTTCAGAAATGATGAAATGAAACGAGCAGCAATGATGTAGCTTGTCCACGCTGGAGACCAACTTTCCTCGACCTCAACTGATTTGAACAACATTCCTCCTTTGTCACAAGTTCCATTTGTTCTGTAAGAAAGAAAACAAGAGTGTTAGAGAATTGAAACTATAAGTAAAACTCATCAATCGTAAGTATTGTGCTACTGATCACTAGTATTTTACCTTTGCACTCGTTCTTCTCAAACTATCAATCATCTAGGGATAGTGGACGTTTCATATTGCCAAGTTCCTCTTGTTCTGCAAGTAAGGAAACAAAGGTGTTAAGGGAATTGAACTAAGATTAACAAGGAAACGAATTGAAGAACCAACTAACTCACCCTCTGTTTGATCTTCAACACTTGTATATGCAAGTGCTAGAGCTGAAAACAATCCTTCCATTGCCTCAACATCAGCCTTTGGCTTTGCAAAAAATGAAACAAAGGAAAATAGTTAGAACAATGAACACTCTAATAAACCAGAAAGTTCAGTTGTTGCAGATTACCTTGTTGCATTGAATCAATGATCTAATTACGAGTACACATATTGCCTCCACTGTATTGTAGTGAAGCCTACTCCGGTGAGGGTCTAATAACCTCCCACCAGAGCTAAAAGCATATTCAGAAGCCACTGATGTGACTGGAATGGCCAGGAAATCCCTTGCAATTGCTTGCAAAGTGGGGTACTTAAGGCCATTAAGTTTCTACCACATCAATATATCAAAGTCCTTAGATCGTTTGGGAATAAGATCCTCAAGAAAATAGTGATCGAGCTCAGTATGAATCAGATTCGTTTTGCTCTTTTTCCTCTGACTCACAAAGAGCTCGAAATCAAGATCATCACTTACAGAACTAGAAGAACCACCAGAAGCACATGAAGAACCAGAATTCTTCTTCTCAGCCTTGGTTTGGTAATCAAGAACCAAACCACAAATACATTCCCTTATCTTATCAGCCACCAATGCAGTATTAGTGCTGCCAAACTTGCCAGCATAATACTCAACTACATGCATCTTGTATCTAGGATCAAGAACTACTGAAATTGCCAGAACCACATGTACCTCATCCCAGTACTTGGCAAATTTCTCCCACATG